TTCAAAACGTTTTGTTCCAACTTTATCAAAAGAAGTTTTAAGATCATCAATTTTCTTTTGATGATCATCATTGACCTTTGAAAGTAAATTTTGCAAATCTAATTTTTTCTTTTCAAACTCTTCTAGTTTGATTTGCAAATCTTTGATTTTACTTTCAAGATCATTGTTGGTTTTGGATATGAGTTTATTTTCATTTTTCAACTTTGAAACATCATTTTTATATTTTAAAAATAATTTCTTATAATCCGAAGCCAACCCATTATATTCCTCTAATAGCTCATCATAAGATAAATCATCAAAATCAGATGAGTTAGAGGTTACCTTAGAATATTCCCCAAATGCCATTAAGCACAAGTTTGCTACTTCTTGTTCTTCTTCATCGGAACCTTCTTCATCGCTCCATGTAGCCACATGAGCCTTGTGCTTATTCTTTGATTGACCCTTCTTCTTCAATTGTGGGCAATCATATTTGACATGCCCTGGTTTTTTGCATTCATAGCAAATGATCGGGTCCTTCTCTTTTGGTTCATCTTTGAGGCCTTCATTTCGTTTGAATTTTCTTCCTCGGTAAGGTCTCATCATTTTTCTGAACCGTTTGGCAAACAATGCCATTTCCTCGTCATCATCATCATCATTAGAATCACTCTCATCTTTTGTGGATTTGAGAGCAACTCCAATGTTTTTCTTCTTCTCCTTCTCCTTTGGTGTCTCTTCAACTTTATCAAGGTCCACCTCATCTTCAAGCATCATCTCATGAGTGAGGAGTGAACCGATAAGTTCTTCAAGAGTTAAGGACGATAGGTCCTTAGACTCGATGATTGCCGTCTTCTTTGATTGCCATGATTTTGGGAGGGAGTAGACTAACTTCCTCACAAGCTTTTCATTTGAGATGATCTCTCCATATGATTTGAGACCATTGACAATCGTTGAAAATCTATCCGTCATAGCTTTGATGTCTTCATTTGGTTTCATCCTGAAATTTTCATAGCTATGCGTTAGAATACTAATTTTTGATTTCTTTACCTCATCGGTACCTTCATGTGTGACTTGAAGCTTGTCCCATATTTCTTTGGCGGTTGTACACGATGAAACTCTTCCGTATTCATCTGGTCCAAGAGCACAAAAGATAATATGGATGGCTTTGGAGTTGAGCTGGAACATTTTTGTATCTCCTTCACTCCACAACCTTGGATGAGTGATAGGCTTAATGTATCCTTCTTCTACGGCATTCCATGCTCCCATGTCACTTGCTTGAATGAAGTACATCATTCTATTCTTCCAATAGGCGTAGTTAGCTCCATTGAAGAAAGGAGGCTTGTTGACGGGACTCGAATCGAGACCGGAGTCGTAATTTGAAGTGGAGGCCATTGATGACTTGGTAATCGATGTAACTCTTCCTGGATCGACTCAAGAGGCGATTAAACCTTCAAATGAGTTAGCCTCTGATACCAATTGTTGAGTTAATCGAATGACGAAATTGGCCAAGAGGGGGTGAATTGGCAATAAAAATTTTGTGGAAGCTTTTGCAGAAAATTGAAAGTAATTGCACAACGATTTACAATGGTTCGACTTTCTCAAACAAAGTCTATGTCCACTACCTTAGCTATCCACACTAAGGATTTTCCAACAACTTCACTAATTTGTTCTTTCTTTTGAGGCCAAAGAGATAACCTTACAATTCCCTCAAGAGTATACCCCAACTCTTGAGAACACTCTTTTCTCAAAGAGAAGATTACAAATTTGCAAACTTACAAGAAAACCTCACAAGGTAAAATGTTTGCACAATTCTAGAACAAAGAAAAGAACACTCAAAGATGAATACAATTGAGCACAAAAAGTGTTCTTGAAAGCAAAATGAATATTGAATGAAAATAGGCTTGAAATGCTCAAACTTGAGGTTTGATGCTTTCTCTTTGATTCTCTCTTGATTCTAGTTGCTTGATGTTTCTTGTTATTGATCAATGGCTTCTAAGCTTGCTTAAATACACCTTGGATCACTTCTGAACGTTGGGGATGATTAGAGAAGATATTATAGTCGTTTTAGTGTGAAAACATTTAATAAAACAGCTTGGAGCATGGGGGGAAATCGGTTCCCCCTTGAAGGGAATCGGTTCCTAAGTGTAAAATTCAAATATTTCGACCGTTGTACAAGGGGGGAATCGGTACCCCCTTGGGGGGGATCGGTTCCCTCCGAGCATACTGGAATTCTCGGAGCAAAACTGTTTAGGGGGAATCGGTTCCTCCTATGGGGGGAATCGGTTCCCTCCGAGCATTATGGAAATCTCGGGGCCAAAACCATTTAGGGGGAATCGGTTCCTCCTATGGGGGGGAATCGGTTCCCTCTGAGCAATTTGTAATTTTTGGCTTTGAATTGGTTCGAAATACTTTGTAAAATTATTTTGAAATTGTTTTATGATTAAAACTTAATTTTACACTTAAGTAAGGATTAAAAATGATTTTTGAAATATTTGGAGTAATGTTTTGATATTCGAATAGTTATATCGAATATACTTAGAAAATCATTTGGAAAATCTTAAAATCCATTTAACTTAATTTGTTATATCGAAATATCAAAATGTTTCAACATATATGATCATTGAAGTCTCCCCCTATGAAAACTCTTTGGTCCTCCGGAATGCTCCTAAGTACATCATCTAACTGATCCCAGAAGCAACGTTTCTCCCCCTCCCCTAGGCCAACGTGTGGGGCGTACACTAAAAGGACATTCACCACTTCCTATTCTATAATAACCTTAATCATCATGATCCTATCCCGGTATCTACAAACTTCAACTACATTTTCCTTGAGCCTAGAGGATACCAAGATACCCACCCCATTTCTAGCGTTATCTACGCCTAAATACCACAACTTGTACCCATTACACTCTCTGGCGCGAGCCCCTTTCCACCTAGTCTCCTGAATACATGCAAAATCTATTTTCCTATTATTAAGTACGTCGGTCAGCTCCAGCAGCCTAGCATTTAATGTGCCTACATTCAACGAGCAAACTCTAAGTCTAGTCTCCTTGTCACCACTCTGTCGAGCCCTCCCCCTATACGCCCCATGGGCTCTAAAAGAAGGACATGACCTCAAGTAATCATCTATAGTCGAAGCTATGAGAAACTATGAAAAATGAATCCAAAGAAGACATAAGATGCACCAATAAAACACTAGAGAATTGAGGGGTACTAAAAAGCCTAGTTGGTTACTAAGTAGGATTTTAATTTATTGCTAGTAAGTTTATTAACAATTATAAGAAATTTGAAGTTTAAAAAAATTTGAAAGATCTAAAACAAAAATTTAAAAGAAGAAGCGAAGAAACAAATCAAAAAAGAAGAGCAAATCAAAGCGATTAACAATACCAAACCCAGATCTGTGAACCTAACATAAAGCAACATCCAAAATCTCGAACCTCAAAGAAGCTAAACGCTTTAAAGCTGAGGTCCACAAAACGAAACCGTTTTAGATGTCGGAAGTAGATCTTTAATCTGTGAAACCTGGTCTTGTAAATAACAGATCTCGGAGGTTTGAGAATGATGATTGAGGTATACACCCTAAGAACACAAATACAGATAACCGGTAACGCAATAATATCAGAATCCAAAAAATTTTGGAACAAGAAAACCAAAACCAGATCTATAAATAGAAACTTCGAATAAAATACGAGGGTATTCCTTCGAGTTAGTGCTGCTGCCCCTTGAGATAACTTGTTAAAAATTTAAAAAAAATAAAAAAGAAAAAGAAAGAGTTCAGAGGGAGGAAGAACCGATGCAGGTAAGGACTTGAAGAAATCAAGAGAGAATTGATATAGGAAAGAAGAAAAAGATTTAAGCAAAAGATAAATAGAGACCTAAAAAATATTGTACAGCATACGAATGTATAGAGCAAAATCAAAATAAAATAGATAGCACCTGGTCCGGCAGGTGCAAGCTCGATTCCGATGGAGCACGATGCACTCTCTCAGGTCAGGCAACTTGAATGGTAATATCCGCACTAAGCCTTACCCTAAAAACAGTTTAAGCCAACGAATTTAAGAAAAAATAACTTACCAATTCCAAAATCCGAAGGAAAAGGAGCAAGGAAATGTCAGATTGAAGTTTGAATCCGATTGGGGAAAAAAACGAGTTGGACAAAGAGTACGAATCAGGGTGAGTGTAGGAAGATCAATTTCAAAATTAGAAATGTAAGCATTATTCAAAGTTTTGTACTTTAATTTTTATTCAGTGGTTTATGAGTAGAGTTTGGTTTAATACGTAAAAGTTTACATATTTACGAAATTAGTCCATTGCATCGAAAATTAATTATTTGATTAATCTTAATCGATATAATTACATTTGGTATAAAATGATAACTCATCGGGTGACTCGAGTGGTTAGAGAGAGTGTTATTATTCTGAGGTTTTGGGTTCGAGCAATTGAGTCTCAGAGTATTATGTGTATCGTTAATTGTTAATAAAGATTATGAACAAATACTAACTTATAATCATCTCAGACTATTAAAAATATTTAAAATGACTATTAGAGATTATAAATGAAAAGATTAGTTGAACAGACTAAAAAAATACCATTAAATTTGTTTTAAACTTTTTAGTTTTTTTTAATTATTGTTGAATTGATTAAATTGAGTAATGATTTGATTGGTTCGACTATCAATTTGATATTCACCGCACATATTTTAAACACATTTCATTTTAAATCCAAGTTAACATTTAAGGATCCAATTAAAATATATTGAAGTTTAATGACAAGTTTAAAATCTTAATTATCGTCTCAAGTAGTACTTTGTAACTAAATCATTGCATGAAACGTCATCGTTTGACTTTAGGGAAAACCAACCAACCAGAGAGTGACAAACTATCCGACACACCACGTGTAATAAGATCATTGGTCATAAGGAAGAACATAATCTTTTTTTTTGACACTGTTGCCTGAATATTTTCACTTTAGTCTTTAATCTTGGTTTTTCTAAAAAAGAAGTTAATAAAAAAAATTGAAGGAGAGAGAGAGAATAAATTTCATTTATTTTTTGTTTTTAAAGTAAATGGGAACCATTACTTGCGTCAGTAATTTCACCAATCTCTCGAGAAAGTCAATTTCTTGGTCCTCATCATCATCATTGTCCTCATCGCTATCAATTTTCAAGAACCCGATTCTAATCTCCCGAAGCTTCAGCTTCTCTTCTTCAATGGCTGCTGCTTCTCTTCTTCAATTCTCAGCTTCATCCTCAACGGGTCTCTTTGATTTTTCCTTTTCCTTTTCCGCTTTCCTTTTTGTTTCTTTTATTTTTTTAAAATAATCTGGGATCTTTTTTTTTAAAATGAAGCAGGGAAAGCAATTGTGGGAGAGAATGATTTGCTAATTGTAGGACCTGGTGTTCTTGGTCGTTTGGTGGCTGAAAAATGGCGGGAGGTAAGTCAACTGTTTGATTCTTTACTTTAATTTACTCAACGCTCTATTGCTTCCATTTCACTCTATGTATTGAGCAAAAAACATCATTCAATGTAGTTTCAGGGGTTGAAATTCAAAGGGTTTTCTTGGATATTTATAAGAATTAGCTGATTGAAGGATTTGGCCTTTTAGTCTTAGTCGTCGTTCATAAAGAAGACAATTAACATATATGTATATATCACATAATTTGGGGAAGCAGGAACATCCAGGGTGTCGAATTTACGGGCAGACCGTGACGACGGATCACCACGATGAACTGCTCTCACTGGGGATTAACCCACTTTTGAAAGAGACCAAGACCGATCAAAAGTTCCCCTTTGTGATTTTCTGTGCTCCTCCTTCAAAAACTCCAGATTACCCTGGTGATATTAGGTAGTTCTGAGATTATTTTCCTTGCATCTCTGTTGTTTATATTTGTGATTTGTCACTCACATCTAGTCACTGGTCATAGTGGTGTGGTAGGGTAGTAATCATATACCAAAGAGCTTTGGCAAAACTTTGATCTTGAATTTTAGATTTCCTTTTAGTGGCAAAATGTTGATTGGCTATTTTTCCTCTTGGAACTGAAGTTGGTGCTATTGATTTTGCCTTGAATTGATCAGTTTGGCTGCTTTAAGCTGGAATGGTGAAGGTTCGTTCGTATTCACTTCGAGCTCTGCACCGTATGATTGCAACAACAATGGACCATGTGATGAGGTATTTAGAAATATCATAACGCATTGTTCTGCTGGTAACACTTCCTTCTTGTTGCTTTGTTTCATTACGCAGATATGTATTAATATCCATTGCTCTGTTTTCTCTATTGTATGATCACTGAGGCCTAATATCCTTGACAGGACACGCTGAATGTGCCGATTGGGAGAAGCCCTAGGACAGATAACCTTCTCAAGGCTGAAAAGGTGGTGCTGGACTTTGATGGTTGCATTGTTAGGTTGGCTGGACTATATATATCCTCTTTATCGGACTTTAATTATCGGATAAATATGTTTATATGTTTCATGGAGTTGTGGATGTTGCCAATATTACATTCATGATCACCTTAAACTTTCACACAAAATAGATAGAGGTGCACATTTCTATTGGTTGCATAAGGGGACTGTCGATGCTCGTCCCGATCACATCTTGAATCTTATACACTATGAGGTGAGAAATCACTCTTTAATATTGGTTATGAATGGCAGGAATTTCAACTTCTTTATTACCCTATCACGAAGCACTGGAAATGATCCCTTTTGGGATTTGCAGAAATCGTTTGGGTACCTTGAATGGTGTTGATGTTGATTTTTATACCTGGTATCACAGGATGCAGCTTCCCTCTCGGTCACTATTCTGAAGAAGAAACTTCGGGGTCGGATTTTCTTGGGTTGTGACAATCATCCTTTGTCCAGGTTGTCTGTTGTCTTCTTTTATGTTAAGACAGATGAACACCTGTCTGATACATTTCATGCAATGCTATTTATTGTCTAAAACGTTTATTTTGCTGAGTTCTTAACACTGCTACTTTCACTGCAGGCAAGAAGTAATGGATTTAGTCGATAAAAGTGGGAAGTTCGACATAAAGTTCTATGGCTTTACAGGTGGTTTTTCTATTTACACTTTCAAAACAAACGTATACCATTGATTATGGATTATAAATCGTATATCGGTAAGGGTTTATGATTATCCAAATACATAGGAAACTTGTACGAAAAGGAATCGAGCGTGCTTGATCACCGGGGTCCGAGTAACATTAGTTTTAGTTGCATGATATGTGAAATTTGCATTCTCTGATGTATGTTGCATGTTGCAGGCACTAGTGATCCCCTGGGAAAGAAGCTGAGCAACTCGAAAACTCGTAAGGAATTAGGATGGGAGCCAAAATATCCTAGCTTCGCCCACTTCCTCGGAGTTTCAGAACTCATATACAGTTTCTAAACGTTTCACATCAGTGTTAATAAGAACACTTTCAGTTGAGTCGTTGTACCTCGGGAGTTTCGGTTTAACTACTAGCCTAATCCGAATTGCCGAGACGTAATTATGCTCGACGAAACCGGATTTACTAGGCACTGCAAGTTCTTGACATGGAGCTGCTGTTGCCAAGAACTTTCATGCCTAGTACTTTAAATTGTCTTCTGAGTTCTAAAAACTTTAACTCGAACTTGATTCTAGATAAAAATTGAACTGTTCGAAAACCCTTCATTAGATTCTATTAAGTTCTTTTACATAGTAAAAGATAAACTCGATTCACGTATTCTACTTCATGCTTGAGTATTTATACTCTAGTTTGAATTGATAAATTTTTAATACTAAGAAAAAATATACATAATGATAAACAGAGCTCGATTAACTTGCAGACAACTCATTTGGAATGGAGATATGAATCTTATTACATTTTTGGGTAAATTGCACGTTTAGTATCTAAGCTATAAGTTTTTGTTAGTTTTAGGATCTAAACTTTCAAATTTTTTCAAAAACATACTTAAAGTTTAGTTATTGTTTTATTATAGTGCTCTTTCGTTAAAAACTTTAGTTTTTTTATTCATTTTAATATCTTCGTTCGAAATTTAACGTTAAATTTTGAAAAAAATAATTAAATGAGTCAAAACTTACAGTCTTCTTTTGATATGACCGTTGATAAACTTACATAATTTGTCATAGTCAAATATATTATATAACAATCATTGTTATTTGTCCTATCAACTGATGGATAACATAACCACTCTAGTAGGGATGATCAAAATACTCGAACTTTAAAGTCCCAACACTACCCTATAAGAAAGTTTCTCTCTCTCCAAATTTTGAGGTTCGAGACGGGACGAGATATATATATAACTTCTTAACAGATGGGGCCCACTTTAAATTGAAAAATCATCGATCCAACTTGACTCGGGATAAATTATTAATTAATTTATATATATATAATATTTAAGATTTTAGAGATTTTTTTATATTGTTAAAATATATTCTTTAATTATTTAAAATGTAAATTATTACAAAATATATTATTTTAAGCATTTAAAATTTAAAATATAATAAAAGATTATATAATATATTATTTTAATTATTTTAAAATATTAATATATATGAATAGGGTCGGATTGAGGTTTTAATATAAAAATTGGGTCAAATTCGGGACAGAAAAAAGTTAAAATTCATCAGGGCGGGACGAGTATAAGCAATATATTTTCGGGTTGGGGTGGCCTCCCTAGAGTCTAGGCTTGACATCAACACTAAAGATAAGTACACAAGTCGCCTTACAAGGTTGAAGAAGGAGATCGGGCTGAATCTCTCTCAATTTCTCACTTAGTTACCACTCTTCTCCTTATTGAATCATCAATCATGATTCTTCATCCAAATTAAACGAGGTTAACCATCTAAAACCATCACAAACACAATTTTGCCATCAAAATAACTCAAAATTTTCAACCATTAATGAATTATTGTGAAGCAAAATTTCCAACCCCAGAAAGCAATGAATATTTAACATCGAGAAGGCAATTTTTATATATTAAAAGATTAGTTGGGCAATGTTCCAAGAAACCAACTTCATAATAAACTATTCCATTTCAAGTTGACTTGAGAGACCAATGACTCTTCTATTTTCTCTATATCTTCATCATGTTTGAACAAAGGCACAAGATCTAAGTGTTCTAACACCAAGTTTTTTACAATGGGGAAGTTTTGTTGTATGGAATCAGATGATGGTGGCGGCTTAGATCTCACCGGGCTTCTCATGGTTTTAATCATAGCCCTAGCTCTCATGGCTCTCTGCTTCCAGCAACCGCGACCTGCCGGTTATACAGTGTACCGTTACAGATGAAAAACCTTCGGTTCAAGCTCAGTCGTCTCGTTTCAACCGTGTTTCGTTGCATCTGCAAAATAAGGTTATGGTGACAACGTTTGTTGCTTGTAAGAACTTGAAAGCTGTCTATTGTATTTCATTGGAACATATCGGATTTTAGATTCATTACTTTTCCCAATCTGAATTGTTGTTTATAGGAATCTGTTTCATTGTTGTTTTATGTTCTCAACTCGTAAGTTGTCGGATATATGTATCTATCCTACTCTATCCGACACTCACATTCGAGTCTGAATAACACAAGGTTTATACTACTGGATTTCTCATTGTTACAACTAACAAAAGATCAAATAATAGCAAATGAAATTGATAAAAGAAAGGTTATATATCAGTCTGCAATACACACACACACACACACATCATGAGATAAACACTGTACATATGCAAATTTGTTCATGATTGTTCCCCATGGTCTAAACTAGTCATTGTGAGCTAAGATTAAGCCAGGCACTGCTTGTGGAATTAACAACAGATATCTGAACTTCTAAAACCTCATGAATCGCTCCTCGGTGAAGTACCCCCAGCACGTCTGTGTCGTCTTTAAATGTTGCAAGATCTTCTAGAGAGAGACATCGAGAATGGAATTCATCACGCATACGGAATCCGTAGAACCATCTACCGAGCTTCCACCATTTGACATGAACTTGACGGTCAAAAATCTTGCTACTCTCAAGCACTTCCTTGACATCCGAAGCCTGCTTGTTATGATGCATTGAAAACATCATTAGCACAAAATCATAATGCATGATTGTAACAGAAAACCACATGAATGTTGAGTCTTTTGAATTTTCTTCACATACATAGAAAGAGGCACACCGGTTCAGTTCAACCCTTAATCTGGTGTTAGCATCATCAAATAAGTCTCCACTCCACTCATCACTAGAGAACGTATTCCATCAAATGGAACAAATAATACAGATATCATACCAACTATTCCGACCCCTCTCCCTCTTATCGTTCTCGATTTAGTCTCCGAAGCAATGTAAACTTAAACCAAATATCACACTACAACACAATACCCCCACTTTTAACATTTAAAACAAGCATCAAGAACATTAATTCAACAATTTAAGCAAAACAAAAACATGCAAGGACGAAAAGAAAGAAAGTTACCGGCACTCGAAGGATGTTAAGGCAGTAGTGAAGTCCAACCAGGTTAAGCAGAACACTCAGCTTTTGTTTGAACAGCAACATTTGGACATCTTTAAATCCGAACTGCAACGATTTCAGGCATTCGACCGCTTTCAGATGGTCGTTTACCTGGAGTGATTCGGATTTCGAACATTGTTCCACAAATTTAATAACGGATTCAGCTTGATCCCTCATCTCCTTGTGCTGCTTTATGTAAAATCCCTTCCACCCCTACAACCATTTATTTTTTTTCCAGGATTTTTAAATCCATACAAACAATTGAATTAGCCTAATTAGAATATAAAAATGTACCAACTATATTTCCAAAGCTATGCAACAAAAGCAATTAGCCAAATTACCCAATAATTCCAAACCTAAATCACAACAAATTAATCATTTTTTTTACAAAAAAGGAACTTCAGAAAACCTTGAAATTGGGGTCTTTCATGGTTTCTTTATACAGAAGAGGCCATCGTTGTTTGAATAGTGGCTCCCATACATAATCGGAGCCCCATATCTCACGCCAAACCCGAGAACAGCAGCTCAAAGAGGAAATATCAGGAACCTGAAAAACCCGAAGACCCGGGAAAATGAATCGGGTTTCGAACAGTACCCATAGAGAGGGAAATTAAGAAGAAATAATGAAATGAAGAGGAAGCAAACCGTAAGGGAAGAAGCGATTTTGAGAGCTACATCGTTATGGATTGAACTGTTTGTATAATCTGATTGATTCATTGGATAAAACTGATAAATTAATGGTTCATGAAATAATTTATCTTTTCCTCCCGGAAAATGGGAAATTTTCTGTTCAGATTTCGTCTTGAATTTGGGAAAGTTGAGCAGACCAGTTACTTGTTCATATTGGATTTCTTGCAAATCTTGGAACTCAATGAGTTTCCACGTGGACGGCTGTATTTGACGTTAGAAACAGCGTCTTTTAACTACAAGATTTGTTGAAGAACATAAAAAATCGTGGTAGATCGACGAAGTCCAATATAAGGTAGAGATAAAACAAATTTGTTTCAAGGAGTTTCTACAATGCAATGACGATGAAGAAAGATTGAGAGTTAAACAAAGATACAAGGGGACAAAGTGGGAAGCCAAGAAAACAGTGTGTTGAACTATGTTTCGATATAACAATTTAAGGCAAAATGGTTTTTGGACTTAAATTGAATTTACAAAATGTATTTGGACTTAATTGAATTTATTCAAAATTTATAAAAATAATTCAAAGTTCTTTTAATTTAAAATTGAGCACAAAAATATTTTTATGAATAGTAATTTACTATTTGAACAGTAACTTACTATTTGAATAGTAAATCACTATTTGAACAGTAACCCGAGGCTCAAAAATTCCAGTATGTAAAAGGGGAACCGATTCCCCCAAGGGAGTACCGATTCCCTCACTGTTCATCAACCCACCGATCATAATATTTGAATATTATGAAGGGGTATCGATTCCCTATGAAGGGTACCGATTCCCCCTATTCTGGACAGCCTAGTTTTGCAGAAAAATCATTCCCAAACGGCTCCAAAACATCCCCAACGGCTAGATATGTCTTCAAACACATTCCAAGCTATAAATACAAGCTAAGGACACTTGAAGAAGAAAGAGAACAACTATCCAAGTAATCAAACACAAGAGAAGAGTTTTTCATTCTTATCTCATCTTTCTCTTGTAAATATTTTGTTCTTGTGAGCTTAATTCTTGTAAACACCTACCTTAGAGAGGTTTTATTGTTTACATCTTTTATCCTTTTGTAAAGGGGAAAGGTTCTAGCTTAGCCCGTGTAAAAACTAGGGAAAGGTTCTAGTTTAGCCCGGAAAAACTAGGGAGTTGTAAGGTTATCTCTTTGTCCTCAAAAGAAAAAACAAATTAGTGAATTTATTGGAAAATCATTGATGAGGAGCTAAGGTAGTGGACGTAGACTTTGATTGATAAAGTCGAACCACTATAAATCACTATGCAATTCTCTATCTTTCAATCTCCTTACTCCCTAAACACAAAACCGTTCCGACCCCTCTTTGCAAATCGTTCCGGTTGTCATTTCGAGCTTCCGGAAATCCTAACACAGTGGCTAAAGCAAATGACAAGGCATATGAGGAAATGTATAAGAGATTAGACACCAAGGAAGGACAAAACGACATCTTCAAGCTTGCAAAATCCAAGGAGAATAAGAAAAAGGATCTAGGTAGCATTAGATATATTAAGGACAACAATGATGTTCTTTTAGTGAAAGATCATGATATTAAGAATGTTTGGGGTAGTTACTTCTTTGGCTTATTTAATGACGGTGCCTCTCCCTGTACAGATAGAACTGTTGATGGGTCTGCCGACCATCATACTACGGCCAATGACTGCCCTATTAGTAGAATTGAGAGTGAGGAAGTCAAAATGGCTCTTAGAAAGTTGAGGAGGGACAAAGCTGTCGGTCCAGATCAAATTCCTATCACTGTGTGGTTGACCCTAGGAGAAGAGGGAGTTAAGTGGTTGACCAACATCTTTAATATTATTTTAGAGACTACCAAGATGCCAGAGGAGTGGAGAGAGTCTACGGTGATATCAATCTATAAGAATAAAGGAGATCCCCAACGTTGTGGTAACTACAGAGGTATTAAACTACTCAGTCATACCATGAAGCTATGGGAAAGGGTGATAGAGGCTAGGTTGAGACAAGTTACTAGGGTTTCAGAAAATCAATTTCGTTTTATGCCAGGCAGGTCCACTACAGAGGCGATTCATCTACTTCGACGGTTTATGGAGAAATATAGAGAAAAAATAGAGATCTTCACATGGCGTTCATTGACCTTGAGAAGGCGTATGATAGCGTTCATCGTGATACGATCTAGAAGACCTTGGAAACGAGACGGATACCATATGCTTATATCCGGGCGATTCGTGATATGTACTGTAGATCTACTACATATGTCAGGACTACAGTTGGCGACACCAAGGTATTCCCGGTGGAAATCGGACTCCACCAGGGGTCGGCTCTTAGCCCTTACATCTTCGCCTTGATTATGGACGACATTTATTGTGCGACACCAGACGGTGTCCCATGGTGTATGCTTTTCGCTGACGACATTGTCCTAGTTGCTGAAACAAAACTGAGCTGAATAATAGATTGACTACCTGGAAGACTGCTTTGGAAGAAAAAATGTCTAAGGATCAATATTGAAAAGACAAAGTATATATGTTCAAACTTCAATGGGAACCAAACCGATGAAGATGTAGAAGTATGCATCGAAGGACACGTTCTCCCCTCAAATAATTGTTTCAAGTACCTAGGGTCTATGATACATAAAGATGAGAGTGTAGATGATGACGTTACACACCGTATAAAGGCGGGATGGCTAAAGTGGAGGGCTGCTACTGGAGTTTTGTGTGACAAGAAGGTGCCTCTAAAACTTAAGGGAAAATTTTATAGAATGACAATTAGACCAGCGCTGCTGTATGGATCAAAATGTTGGGCAATAAAGAATGATCACATAAGGAGGATGGAGGCCGCAGAAATGAGAATGCTTCGATGGGCATGTGGTAAGACTCTGTGGGACATGACACCAAACTCTGCAATTAGGATGTCCTTGGGGGTGGTGACTGTATCCGAAAAATTGAAGGAGGGAAGACTACGGTGGTTTGGGCATGTCCTTAGGCGACAACCGTCGGATGCGGTCAGGAGGGTAGAGTCGATTACAGTCGAGGGTGCCAGAAGGAGAGGACGACCAATGAGGAAGTGGTTAGAGTGCTTGAGATCAGATTTGAATGATTTAGCCCTTACCGAGGACATGACCTCTGATAGAAAATTATGGAGACTTAAGACCAGGGTAGACGAGTAGTTGTGGGTCACAGCCATAGAGTGTAACATCTCTGTCTTCTTTTTAATGTATCTGTAGTAATTTCCATGACTTCTACTTTTTATTTGTTTATGTCATTGGAATTTATGAAGTATTAGAATTAGGGTAGCGGAGTTGTGTTGATTTAGTTTAGGTTTTAACCCATTTGTCTTTATTACTTCTCATAGCTTGCTATCGATGACTTCTGTGTATCATTCTCTTCATGTTTTCTCTTTCTAAATTTAGCCGGTAATTACGTAACTGTCTATATGCAGAGATTTTTATACATGGATTTATTTGCAGGGATTACTTCCCATTACAGACGCACGTATGAAAACTGCATATGATGACTGTTCAACTATGTATTTATTTATTTATACATGCATTGGATTTTTATCTTTATTTTTAATTTTTTTGACTGCCGGAGGTCTTCTACGGAAGCTGTTCTCAACCTGACGTTGATGGCAACCTACTACCCTACCTCCCCCTTACCTTATTGCATATGAGAATAAGGTTTTTTGTTGTTGTTGTTGTATTTGTTGATGAATTTTTTATCACCCAACTTTAAAAAGTTAGAAAATCATCATTTAATTAATTAATTAAATTATTATTTTTAAAATGAAGTGGTTCATGTCAAATTCTTATATAATTTGAAGATATTTTATTTTTATGTTATATTAATGATTTAATTGTACACATAAATTTTACAGTTTTACATCCCCGAAAATTTTAATATAATATATTAAAGATTTGTACATGTAACATAAAATTTTACATTTATTTTTTATTGTTGCTTGTATTGCACCTACTTGAGTTGAGAAAAATGATAATCTCGTTGAGTTAGAGATGAATATAGATTCTACCATCAAATATTGAAAGTTTATTGTATCTATAAAGGCTCGAACTCGATTATAAATATCTCTTTATCCAGGGATAAGAATGAAAGTTTAAAAAGTTCATGGGTGAGACTAATATTTATCAATAACTATGGGGGAAAACAAGTAGTTCTATATTTTTATCATCTGGGCTATCGGCAATATTATCCACTGCCTATCCTCTGTAGATATTTTTGGCAATTTTTTACGATGAACTCACTCTATTGACCATGAAATCGCCTCAAATTTTCACTCATTTTCCTTTCCTTTCCTTTCTTTCTTCAAATTCGAGTGGCAGAGACAAATTTTCCCAAATTTCTCTTCTTTCCAAACACAGGTGAAGAGAGTAGAGAAAAATGTCACTCTGCTTATCATTCAATCCCTTCACAGTTCACTCACCGAAGTCCCAAACTCACAAAACACACTTCAGTTCTCAGTTCATCAAGCAAAACCAGGTAAAACCATCTCCTTTTACTTCAAAATCAAGACCATTTAACGGCAAAAGATCTGAACTTGTAAAAGCTTTGGCGACAAAGCCTTTTGAGACAGCTGTTTCAGCTTCGTTTAGGAACAAAAACCCCAAAGACATCAACGTTTTGGTGGTGGGTTCAACTGGTTATATTGGGAAATTTGTGGTGAAGGAGTTGGTTAATAGAGGGTTTAATGTGATAGCCATTGCTAGAGAAAGAAGTGGGATTAGAGGTAAAAACAAGAAGGAAGACACTTTGAGTGATTTAAATGGAGCTAAAGTATGTTTCTCTGATGTTGCAAATTTAGGCGCTTTGGTTGAATCTGTGAAAAATTTAGGATTTCCCATTGATGTCGTTGTGTCTTGTCTTGCTAGTCGTACTGGCGGTGTTAAGGATTCATGGAAGATTGATTATGAGGCAACAAAGAACAGCCTTGTTGCTGGTAAGAAATTCGGGGCTTCACATTTTGTGTTGTTGTCCGCCATTTGTGTGCAAAAACCCCTCCTCGAGTTCCAGCGAGCTAAGCTGAAATTCGAGGCGGAATTGATGAAAGAAGCCGACGACGACGACGGACTTACTTATAGTATCGTGAGGCCGACTGCATTCTTCAAGAGTTTAGGGGGTCAAGTTGAGTTGGTGAAAGATGGGAAGCCTTATGTGATGTTTGGCGATGGCAAATTATGTGCCTGTAAGCCAATTAGTGAACAAGATTTAGCTTCATTCATAGCCGATTGTGTTTTGAAAGAGGATAAGATTAATCGGGTTTTGCCGATCGGCGGTCCGGGGAAGGCATTGACACCATTAGAGCAAGGGGAGATTTTGTTTAAGCTTCTAGGGAAGGAACCAAAGTTCTTGAAAGTGCCTATTGGGATAATGGACTTCGCCATTGGGGTACTCGACTTCCTAGTTAAGATCTTCCCCGCTATGGAAGATGCTGCCGAGTTCGGTAAAATTGGAAGGTATTACGCTGCCGAAAGTATGTTGTTTTTGGATCCCGAAACCGGGGAATACAATGCGGAGAAAACACCGAGCTACGGCAACGATACGTTGGAAGAGTTCTTTGCGAGAGTCCTGAGGGAGGGGATGGCTGGCCAGGAATTAGGTGAACAATCCATCTTCTGAAAGTTGATTGCTTTACATTAAGTTGGTTAAATTTGGGTGATTCATTGAGTGAACCAGTTTTTTCTTAGAACATGATTTGAGATATGCAGATGCAGTCACCCCAACCTTAAAAACATCAAAAACTAGTGAATCTCATGTTGTCTTTGTGAAGAGTTCTTTTCCCTTGAAAATCACCAATGTTATGAAATAAATAGATTTATTTATATTGCATTGCTCTTCCCACACGGGAAGAGACTCTTCCAAACAACATATCTTACACACGACAAACTTCAATCAATGTCAGGCACAAATTATTAGAACATGATGGATGTATTGAAACTTTGAGACATAATATTTATCGGTAAAATTAAATTTTGAATAAAAAAATTATGATTTTACATTCTACTCTTTGAGAATTTTAAAACCATATATAATATACTCGAAGCAGTTAAGTAATGAATAAGAAAATAATATTTGAAGTAAACTATGTACAAATGTTATTGAGGAATGAAAAAAAAAATTATAAACGTTGCATTCGTAGTAAAATACCTAATAATTATAAACATGCAATATACTCGAAGCAGTTAAGTAATGAATAAGAAAATAATATTTGAAGTAAACTATGTACAAATGTTATGAAATAAATAGATTTATTCAAACGGTAAGTAACTTGATATCGCTTAAGTAAAGTCTCGGGTTTAGATCATTGTGTATGCAAAAAATCTTCGTTTGACAACTTACCCATCAAAACAAGATGTGCGACTTGAGTCGCACCAAATTAGTCAAAACGAATTTGGGCAACCAATATATATATATATATATATATAATTTCATTATATTAAGCAAGAGGGGCCCTTAGATATAGTTTCTAAAATTGTATATTATATGAATAAAAAAAATCAAAGTCAAAAAACCATTGGGGTGAATCTAAGACCATATCTACTGGTTTGGAAAGCAGGATGCCCACCACCTTTGAATTTTGATTCTGCACTTTAGAATTTTTTTAATAAATTATTTTTATAATTCTCAATCTATTTTACATATTTTTATTCCACTCTCTCACTCCAGCCGTCAAACATTGGACTGTACGAAAATTATTTTCAACTAAAATAACATCTTTAATTTTTATTAGGTTAAAAGATTAAGTAAGCTCTTTAACTTTGTCATCACATATCAAATTTTTTATTTTAATTTGTCTAGTATAAAAATAGTTTAATTATTTTCTAAAAGAATTATATGTAGATTATTGAATTATTGATTTTCAGATTAATGATTTAATATTAAATTTTAATATTATTAATTCATGATCTAATAGAATAAAGTGAATAAAATATGAGTCGGTGTACTAGCTCTCATAAAGACATAATATTAAAATGTTATATTAATATTTGATTGAATAATTATTTTTATAATTTTTTGTACTATGACCCTTAATATTTTATTTTAGGATAATTAAATTTTTCATGTGAGAATCGTCGGTCAACAAACAACTAATATATAGAGATAATTCAATAGATATTTCCGGACTATAGTATTGACATAATATATTCATATATGAAAGAAATAATGCGTAGCATGTAATGTCAATAAAAATATATATGTTTTAAAATTTTATATATTAAATTAAAGTGTCATTGCTGATTTAAGAATTAAGATAGAGAAAATAAGAAGAAAAATTAAGGAACAAATATATAAAAAAGAAAATTCCTCCAAATTTAGCACAACGAGAGAGGGAGAGAGAGGCAAAGACCCTTTCTTTCCCTACCATCCAATTTTCCATTGAACCAACGCACGGCACGCTCTTCCCTCTTCCCTCTTCCAGATTCTCCACTCAATTCCAAAATCTCCCCTTTACTTTCTCCTCACCTCAAACTCCACACTTATGCTTCTTTTCTCCCTTTCTTTGCCTTGTTGATCCAAGCACACTGGTGGGTTTTTTCTTCTTTTGTGTTTGTTGTACCCCAAGCTTTAGTTTTTATTATCATTTCAATACCAAGTTTCTTTTTTTTTTTTACCTTTTTTAATTCAATAGTTTAATGTTTTGTTTTATTGTGTGGTGTTAGTTGAACTAGTTGCTTTTATTTGGAGTTCATTGTGTTGTTTCGATTAACGTATTTTTTTTCTTAGTATTCACTGTTTTTGCTGTTTTATTGTTGAATAGTACACAAGATAAGCCCTTTTCGTATGTTTTAAGTCTTAAACGCTTATGTTAGTAATTGAGAATCATTACTTTTTATTATTTATGAAATTGGGTTTTGATGATGTGTTCATGATTCAGATCCAGTTCGTTGTATTCTAGTTTAAGATTCATGACAATGTCCTGCTGATCGTGAGATGAATTTATAGATAGTTTAGTTTTAGCAACAAAAGGAATGATTAATTCTTGTATTGGAAGTTTTGTGTTTAGTTAATTCGGTTTCTGATTGTTTCCTTTTGAGATGTTCATCAGATTTATTTATGTAAAATGCTGGATTTAGATGAAATTTGTATTGATTTTTCGGTCTTTAGTGTGCTAACAAGATGTTATGCTCACATTCTATGCAAAATTTACATAATGGAGATGTGTACTCTCTTTCAGACTATAATGCAAGGAGAAAGTTTCATTAATCCCGAAGGGGAAATTAAGGTTAGTTTTGGCTATCAGTGTAGCAGCCCCAAAGGTATTCCTTTCAGCGCTCCTAATGTGCGTGAAATCTGGTCTAGAAGTGAACTGCCTAGGAACGGCAGTTTCTCTTGCTTGTCGGGTGCTGCCTTAAGTGCCAATGCTACATTGGCCAATACGAATATCTGTAACGGTGTGATTGGAGCTGAAATTCTTCCTAGTTTGGATTCCCCTAATTCATTTCGTAGAGTTCCCTCTTCATCATCTCTTGCAAGGTTGGATATATTATCATCTTCGCTGCAAAGCAGTATCTCAAACTTAAGTTGCAGTCCACCAAGTCCAGTTTATTCACCTGATACTGATTCGTTTTTACTGAGACCGATGAGTGCTCCTTCTAGGACTGATAGTTTCCTTAATGCTATGGAAGTGCAAGTTGCAGGTGGAGCCGCTGGTGAAGACAGGGTTCAAGCTGTCTGCTCCGAAGAGAACGGGTGGCTCTTTTGTGCAATCTATGATGGTTTTAATGGGAGAGATGCAGCTGATTTTCTAGCTGGGACATTGTACGAAACTATAATATTTTACCTTAGTTTACTAGACCGGGAATCAAAGCAGGATGTCCCCAGATCACCCAATGGTTCGACTGCAAATGGATACTTTGGATATTTTCATGATCATATTACGGTTGGTAACAAGGAAAAAACCCATTCTAGGGTTGAAACCAAGAAGTATACGAGCGCTGAAAGCTTGATGAAGAAAACTGCAGATCGTAAAGTGGAAGTATCATCTGATTCCTTTAGGCACGGGGTGCTTGATAGCCTCCAACGTGCTCTAAGTCAAGCCGAGAGTGATTTCTTGTACATGGTAGAGCTGGAAATGGAGGACCGTCCTGATTTAGTTTCAATAGGATCTTGTGTTTTGGTTGTTTTTCTTCATGGTGACGATTTGTATACACTCAATTTAGGCGACAGTCGAGCTGTATTGGCCACATATGATGACGCCAATGACAAGGGTCAGAGTGAAAGGTTGAAAGCTGTTCAGCTGACCGATAGTCACACTGTTGATAACGAGGTTGAAAGATCTAGACTCTTGCATGAGCATCCTGATGACTCTATGCCCGTCGTAGCCGGAAAAGTGAAAGGAAAACTGAAGGTCACTCGCGCATTTGGAGTAGGTTACTTGAAAAAGGTAGGTGCTCTTATTTCTAATTACAATTTCCTTGTATTTTTGTCATTTAAATCTGCCCTCTCGATAAGAACCGCTGCATGCTAGTCAGGTAGTATTACTCTGACACGAAGATCACGACGGCTTTGTATTTCTAATCTTTATACCACTTTTACTTTATCCTAGCGTGGAAACTAATATTCAAGACTTGGAAATACCGGTTAAGTAATCAACAAGTGATATCTAACCTGCCTTGTTATAAATCGTGGTTGCTACTATTTCTGCAATCCCGTAATGGTTTATGCACGAGAACAACTGTTATATAACCTATCTTATTGTTGCTGATCCAGTCTTTACCGTTATCAGCATACCATTTTTGTTATTCCTTGTAGAAAAAACTGAATGATGCTCTGATGGGAATTCTTCGAGTTCGTAACCTCATTAGTCCCCCATATATCTCCACTGAACCGTCGCTGAATGTGCACAAAGTATCAAGATCCGATCACTTTGTTATAGTCGGTAGCGACGGTTTATTTGACTTCTACAGCAATGAAGAGGCTGTAAAGCTCGTCCATTCTTACATCTCAAGCAACCCTTACGGTGATCCTGCCAAATTTCTTGTGGAGCAGCTTCTAATAAAAGCAGCTCAATCTGCAGGTAAATTTTCTAATAATTTTTAGCTTTTGTCCTAATTTCATTTGAACCACGAACTGAATTTTCTTACTGCCTGTTTTTATGGTTGTCGACACACTCAGTTTTGTATAAAAGAACATACAACAAAACCAAAATGCATGTTTCGTAACTTTAGCTGTATGTTTATTTGTGGACTGGAATTTCTAAGACATGAACTTTACTTTACCATCACAGGTTTCAGTAAGGAAGAACTGATGAATATTCCAGCTGGTAGGAGGAGGAAATACCATGACGATGTTACCGTTATCGTGATTATTCTCGGGACAAATTATCGAACATCCAAGGCATCAACCTGTGCGTGAATTTTATGTCAAAGCTTTGCACATTTTTCATTTGTATATAGCTTAAATTCAGATAAGTTTCTCCTGATGTGTTGCAGACAAAATTTTGTAGTAATTAAATCATGCATTAGAGTCTTTGATGTAAATGTGTAGTTGAGTCTTTTCATTTTTCTTTGACATTTCACCACACATTCTAAAGTCTCATCTTCAAGTACTTGCATATGAATAATCAGAAGATTTGTTAACAGAATTGACACTATTCTTTTGAAAGTTGCTTGTTCATGCTTCCATCATCTTTCTTACCGGCTTTCTTTGAATGGCATTTTGATCTATGTGAGTAATAAAATGCAATAATAATAATAATAAATCCGAATCGAACCAGCTGAACCAATTCAATGGGGAAGCATGCTTTAATAAAGACAAATATTAACATCGAAGACGAGATTGAGGATGCTTTGGTTTCATATTTAAGCTGATTCTTCAGCTAGAAAACAAGATAGACTAGTGTAATTTTAACCTAAGAAACATGATAGTAGTTCACAACAACTCAGAGAAGAGTCATAAGTACAAGGATGCACATTCTATTTGTTCACTTCCTTGCCATTTTCATTTATGGGTGAAGTATGCATTTCCACATCCTTTCCTTCAACCTTACAATCTTCGGCCTCTTTCGCACCCTCTGACACATCCTGCGGCTGCAAAAGTTCCAATTGGTTCAACCTAGGAGCAGATTCTCGTTTCTAAAAGAATAGACGACTGAAAAACAAGTAGCATAAGCTTAAGTTATTCGGACTCGAGTGTGTTGGATACGTGTTTAACACAGAAATGTTCATTTTCTTCTATTTTTCCTAATGCCACATATCCAAATATGTGCTGAACACAAGTGTTGGATTTGAGTACTTCAAGGAAAATGAAAAGTCAAAAGCTACCATAGGTGTAAGGAATGTAAGCAAAAATTCGACACTAAACTTACCCCCAAATTTCTTAAGCTGGCAGTAACATCATCTTGTTGCTGATGTAGAGTGTTCCTCAGTTCTTGAAATTCCTTATCTCAAGAACGAAACATTTTAGATAACTTAAGTTTCCCTCACTTCGGAATGAAAAATCTTCTTTCTTTTAAGGGAAGAACTTACCGTATGGAGTTGCTCCACTTCAACATTAAGTGTTTTCTTCAGGTCAGTGAGCTCCTGCAAGAATACATGCAAATTAACCTAAGAAATGACAGCACCAAATGGTATTTTTGATTGAGATACCTAACTAAAACTGCCCTAAGACAAGTTATTGCTTGATTATAAGCATTCTTAGTAAAAAATCAGCCCTTCCATCAATGTTTTCAAACAATGACAAGATCCACGGCGTCAAATGGTGCGGATCAGACAAGAAAATAAGAGCCAGGTACTAGATATGAGACCAACATAGGTGATAGGTGTGCTTATTTTCTAAACATTTTTCTCATATAATTGGATGGTCATACATTTGCAACCTCGTGTTTATATCCGAGTACGTGTCAAGACGTACTCCAACGCAAATGAAGAATTTGCAGAATTCAACCAACATAGGTCTCAACCATTCCGTAGCAAGAGGAAAAGCATCATATGAAACAAGATTTCAATGAGCAACAAAAGGCAAACAAAATATAAGCAAACATAACAGCATTTTATTGAATTGCAGTTTAGTACAATAATATACCAAGGAAAAAAGTTTTAAAGCAGGGTACTTGGGTGTTTTAAGCCAGATTTCCCCCCTCGACTTGATATTACTTTCTCAGGAAACAAACACCCACATGTATATTTTCTTATCATGAACTTTCACTTGATAGTAAAAGGTTCAACTTCAACTGTTAACTACATAACTAGCATAACGTGAAACAAACATTCCCACAGATTTCATACAATATCAGCATGAATCAACAAATAAGAATGAAAAGAATCCGTGAAATTGTGAGATAAAAAGCAAAATTACTGAACGTACATCGCAGTAAATTTTAACTTGGGTGTCCAGTTTAGACCTCCAATTTTTCAGATACTATCGGGGAGAAAGATCAAACTCAGAATTGAAATATATATAACCCCAAAAAAGGACAATGTAAAACTTGTAAAAGAAAAAAAAAAGTTAAAATTTCCAGAATGACCTGTTTCAATCCTTGAATTCTATTGAGCAGCTCAGTCCTTGATTCTTTCAATTCCTAAAGCCCCGGATAAGATTAGATATTATAAATGAATTAAACCAAGCAAGTTCCTTTTTCCTATATACACAAATTAAATACAGACAAAAAGAAAATCCAAAACTTACTGCAATTTTTGAACCTACTGGAGTGGTATTCTCCTTTTTCTGTAAAAAGGGTACATAAAATTCCATTAATATTTCTAATATTGTAAAAGAAAAAGAATGATATTAAACCATAACTCCAAAAACAAATAGGAAAAAATGGGGAGATAAAAAAGGGGAAAAAGTAAGTACAGGAGATGGGGCGACAGGAAGAGGAGGGGTGGAATCAGAGGATGTCATTCGTATCAAATAGAAACAGAGAGTATTCTATGAATTGATTTGGTTTTAAACTTTGGGTTTTTCTTTTTTTCCCCCTCTTTCGTGGTGTGAAGAAGAAGAAGAAGTATTTAAAGTTTTTAGCAGTTACTTGTTTCTCAAGTAGATCTGGAAACTGGAAGAAAATAGAAAGGTGATAGTGAAAGATTTCTTCCTAAAGAAAATGGGATTTGATGAACTGGATTTTGAATTTGGGGAATTGGGGAGTGTTTGAGCGGGCAAGTTGCAGATCTTTGAAGGTTGGTTTTCTTTCAAAGACGGATAATTTATGAACATCATGCAAATGTTGCACCTTTACTTTTCCTTTGTTTGTTCATTTAGTGAAAGATTTACATTATTTTCCTATATCATGCACATCTTTGTTTGTTTGTTCTTTTGACTATAAGATATTATTTTGTTGAATATTTCGATTATTAAAAGTTATAAAAGGATTATTAGACTATTTATATTCTCCAAACTCGTCTTTTTCGTTAAACATTTGGCGGTAGTCTGAGCGAACGTTAACCTGTTGAATGAGATATGATAAAATTTGACCTAAAAAAAATTGAGTCGTATAGTCATTTGAGATTTTGATATAAGATTTTATCATATCTCATGCAACAAGTTAACGTCCAGCTCAAACTACCTCAATATTTTAATAGAAAAGGACAATTTTGGAACATATCAATAGTTGGATAACTATTTTGTAAATAGTCAAAGGATTAAAAAAATAACATCTTATTATTAAAGGATCCCTTTGTAATTTTTAATAATAGATAAATTCTACATTCTATATTCGAGAGATCATTTATATACTTTACCTTTAAAAGATTTGATTTTTAACAATTTCCCAATTAAAATTGAGTTAATTTCACTCTACGTCCTCAAACTACACCTTAGTTCTAAATTGGTCACAATATTCAAAATATTTTAGTTGACACAAACTATAAATATCTTATCAATCATGTCCTTCCTTTAATCTAATCATTAACTTGAATGTTAAATGTTAGCTTAAATATAACATTGATTAAATTGTACTTAGTTGTCCCATTAAAAGTCTCATTTTTTGTTTTTAGAATTATATTATTCAAAATGTTTTATTAGAAAAGTCAATCAACGACAACACTTATATTTTCTTTTTACCCTGAATGTTTCAATTTTTTTACATATATCAAAACAAATTAGTCAAATCTATCAATCATCTTTTAGGGATAATTTCAAATTATGGGACAGAGGAAATAAATATTTATACTAACCTACCACATGAACATGTTTGTTCTAATGTATTTATAAGATAGTCCTCCTAATTTTTATCGATTAGAAAATTTTGAGTTCGTCAAATTTAAGATTATTATTTTATCATTTAAGTAAAAAAATTAAAACATATAATTGATGAAAGAATGAAGAAAAAAATTTATAAAAGAAAAGAATTTGTAAAGAGATATAATCACAATATCAAATTGAATAAAATATAAAATTATATAATTAAACTAAAATATAATTATCAAAAGGGAGGAATTAGAGTTGTTGAGAAATATGTGATTTAAATTTAATCCGAAATGAAATTTAAACAAAAAAAATGAATAAATAAGAATTTTGCAATAACTTTGTTTCCCGATTTAGTCTAGAAAGTGTTGGTTTAAAATGTGAGAAAAATTTCAAGCCAGAGGCAGCCTTTGCTCCATAAACTAAAGTAGAATGTTGTCACCTGAAGATTAGATTCGAACAGCTGTATATACAGGATAATGCGTATATTAATAAGCTCTGTTATCTTGCTTTCAAGATTTCGAAGGTCAAAAGTTTGATATTGGTTGTTTCGACTCAATTTATGCCAGGGAATTCCTAGGAGATGTCTTATAAAACTACCCAGATTCATCCTGTGAGTTCACATCCTGAGGTTTACGAACCCCGTGATGACACGTTCACATTAGTCGATCGATGCGCTTTTGTCCGATCAATGATGCTTGCTGGAACATAAACCGGTATGGAAGTGGTCATGTTGTTGTTCGATATAAGAACTGTAAAACTACACCGTTAGCACTGATTAGAAATATAAACAGTAATTAAAATGAACAGATTCGTAAACTGTGTCGTGGTATAACCACTGCCTTAGAAACGAATTCGCCCCGATGCGTGTAATTGCTGCAGTAGGTGGACCGTCCCCCGAGGTTAACACGGTCGCTCCGAATTCCGTACACCCGAAATCGGAGTGGACTGCCGATGGTATTGCTCTTCTTATCGGAAAGCACAAAAAGAATAATTGCATAAAACACTTTGAGAGTGAATTGTGAATGTTGAGAGTGAGTTGAGAAGCTGAATATAGCCCTCTATTTATAGGCTATAAATATGGTTAAAATCGTCCATAAAATTTCAGGATTAAATCTATTCTTTTGTAACAGCTGAAACGTCTAGATGAACCTGACTCAAAAATAGTCCAGGTTCATTGCATCATTGTTCAGCTGTTATAACTGTCGAAATTATATCATGTAACCCATGGAATTATATCAAATAACTCCTGTAACTCCTGATATTAACAGCTTGTCTAGTTTGTATAAAGCTGGAAATCAGTCCAGATACATTTTAACGTTTTTGATTTAATTTAGGAAAAGCTTTTTAATTTCTGATAACTCTCATAAACCAGCTGTTATCATTCGAAATTAAACAGTCCTCAGCAGCCTATAAATATCAGTTAAAATCTTTCACATTTTTCCATTTGTTTCTTTCAAAGAGAAATTCCTCGAGAATTTTCTCTAAAAAGATAGTATCCGCGCGGACGTGTCGAAGACACGTATTACCACGACCACGACCATGACCACGAGTCGAGCCGTGCCGAGCCGAGCAGAGACGGACGACGGCGGTGGCGGTGCGCTAGAGTCCCCATTGTTCTCTTTCACTCAACAAGGTAGTGGGAATTCCATACTATAAATACCCATTCCCAATAATGTTTCCAATACTATGTGGGATTGAGCATTACCAACATTCCCCCACTAATGCGAAAGAATTCTTCTGAAACTCGAAAACAAACTTTCCAGAAGAGCAATAGCGAGATTAGTTGCTTAAGCACTAGTGAACGTATCTGTAACTAGTACATAGTGATGATGAGCAATCCTTCTCTTAGATAAGTGAAACTAGTCTGGAACTTTCTAAGATGAGGGTAAACTCATAACACACAACTAACCCCTTCATCCACCTGAGTCCTCGATGTGTAAGATATATATATACAAAAGTATATATTTGGCCATCTTACCTCAGGATTCTAGTAAGTGTGCTAGAAAAATGGCCCAACATTTTTCATAGAAGGCGGCTAACCCTTCTCACTTACATATGTTATTTCATCAAGTTTATCTCAACATAAACCACCCTTAAAAGGGATATAAAATAATTAAGAGCTTTTATAATAGCTCAACCTCACAAAGGGTATGGTGACTTTCTTCAAGTTCATTATAAATGAACCACCCAAACTCTGGCCTAAGAAGTCATTAAGAATAAATATTTAACCTCATTTATCGGTAAATTCAATAAGTCCTTCTCACTAGAACCATCCAAATACTTGGATTTGAATTTATTAAGAGTTTAACAAACTCAATCTTTCTGTCGGTAAGTTCATCATTTCCTACCCATTCACTCTGGGTTATGAACTTATTAAGAATAGATATTCAGCCAAAATCGGTAAATTCATCAAGTCTTTCTCACTAAGACCACCCAAAGCCTGGGCTATGAATTTATAAAGAGCTCTTAAGCTCATTCTGGGTATGCACATTATTCGTCATAGGGATAGGCAGTAGGAATGTGCACTATGAGTCTTTCCATGGTTTCGTTTGACCACATGGAACTTAGATAACTAAGTTGGGTATCCACCATGAATTCCTCAACCAATGGGCTTTAGACCCATCCCCCTCGACGAATCTAGGACCAGTTTCCGACTTAACACTTTGGTAAGTGGATCTGCTAGGTTCCTTTCCGACTTCACATACTCTAAAGAGAGCACTCCATTCTTTATTAAGTGTCTAACAGATTCATGTCTTATGCGAATGTGTCTTTTCTTACCATTGTAAGATTGGTTCTTAGCCACACATATCGCAGCTTGTGAATCACACAATAATGAAACTGGAGGAGTCGGTCTTCCCCACAATGGAATATCTGCTAACAAGCTTCTGAGCCACTCGGCTTCTTGCCCAGCTAGGTCAAGAGCTATAAACTCTAACTCCATGGTAGAACGAGCAATACAAGTCTGCTTTGATGATTTCCACAAGATTTCTGCTCCATCCAAAGTAAAAACATACCCACTCGTAGAGCTTACCTCATCATTATCAGAAACCCAGTTGGCATCACAATATCCTTCCAGTACCGTAGGAAAGCCAACGAACTCAAGTTTCCAATCCAAAGTACCCTTAAGATACTTCATTAAGCGTTTAAGAGCAATCCAGTGTTTACCACTCGGATTATGAGTATATGTACTCAGTCTACTCACAACATAAACAATATCAGGCCGAGTATAGTTCATTAAGAACATTAAGCTTCTGATTAATTTAGCATATTCAGTTTGGTAAACGCTACTTCCTTTATTCTTAACAAGATGAATGCTAGGGTCATAAGGAGTTCGAACAGGGACGACATCAAAACTGTCAAATTTCTTTAGCACTTTCTCTATATAATGTGCTTGACTTAAAGAATATCCCTTTTCAGTTTTGGTAACTCTGACTCCTAAGATTACATCAACTTCTCCCAAATCTGTCATCTCAAACTTAGTGGACAAGAAACTCTTAACTTTGTTAATGGACTCGATGTTAGAACTAAAAATCAACATGTCATCAACATACAGTCTTATTATGACACATTCAGTGTCAAACATCTTCGAAAACACACAAGCATCCAAACCATTCACAACAAAACCAAAACTAAGAATAGTTTTATAGAATTTTTTATACCACTGTTTAGGAGCCTGCTTAAGTCCATAAAGTGACTTTTTAAGTCTACAGACTTTCCCTTCCATACCAGGTGCTTCAAAACCCAGTGACTGCTCCATGTAAATCTCCTCATCTAGATCCCTATTCAAGAAAGCAGTCTTAACATCCATTTGATGTATATGTAACTTATGAATAGAGGCTAGCGCAAATAATGCACGAATCGTTGAGATTTTCGTAACGGGAGAGTATGTATCAAAGTAGTCTAAACCAAACCTTTGAGTAAACCCTTTGACGACTAACCTTGCCTTGTACCGCTGAATCGAACCATCTGGCCTTAGTTTCTTCCGAAAGACCCATTTGTTG